CATTATTTTGGATAATTAAATGAATTAAATGATTTATTTTGGGAAATAATTGAGTTATTTTCCGCTTCAGATGGGGATTTCTGAGGATCATAATTTGCACCCACGCGCTGGCGCTGGGAATGAACTTGCCGTGCCGCTCTGCAGTTTTTGCTGGCGACGCTTTGGCTCTGACTCCCACAATGTTCAAACAAGTAATTCTTTTATTCTTTTTCTTTTTTCGTTTATTCTTTTTATTATTTTTATTCTTTTTATTCTTTTTTCTGCATTTAAGACCTTCTGCTCTTCTGCTGCTCACTCCACTTTTTAGAGCATGCGCTCCCGGCTTTTCGCCGCTCTTCTACTCTTCCTTCTCGTGCTGCAGCAGCAGCAGCAGTAGCAGCAGCAGCAGCAGCAGCAGCTGCTGCTGCTGCTGCGGGTACTATTCTTTTCGCTTCTCATGCTGCTGCTTCTGCTGCTACTCCTGCTGCTAGGGCTTCTCTACCGGTGCGCTGCTGCTGCTGCTACTACTCCTGCTGCTGCTCCGCTTTCACCCCTGCTGCTGCTGCTGCTGCTGCTGCTGCTGCTGCTGCTGCTGCTGCTGCTGCTGCTTCAGGCCGGGGGCCGCGCACCCGGCCGCGGCTACGACGCTGAGGGCCACATTATATTTTGGGAAGTTCCATTGAAGAGAATTAATCGCCTTTTGGAGGCCCGCCTGCCCCTCTTCTCCGGAGAATTCCCCGTCACCCCCATGCTCTGTGAGCTCGCACAGCTAGCTAGCTAGCTAGCTAGCTAGCTGGCCAGCTGGCTAGCTGGCCAGCTACTTAACTAGCTGGCTAGCTAGCTGGCTAGCTGGCTTGGTGGCTGGCTCGTCAGGCAGCTACTTAAATAGCTGGCTAGCTGGCTGGCTAGCTAGCCGGCTAGCTAGCTGGCTAGCTAGCCGGCTAGCTAGCTGGCTAGCTGGCTAGCTATCTGGCTAGCTAGCTGGCTAGCTAGGCTAGCTAGCTGGCCAGATGGAGCTCGCTAGAGTCTAGACTGCCGTTAGCTCGGAAGGAGTCGCAGCCTATTTGAACGCCAATGCCCAGATGCACTTAACTAGCTAGCCAGCTAGCTAGCCAGCTAGCTAACCAGGTAGCCAGCTAGCTAGCCAGCTAGCTAGTCAGCTAGCTAGGTAGCTAGCTAGTTGGGTAGCTAGCTAACTAGCAAGGTAGCCGGCTAGCTGGCCAGGCAGCTCGGTAGCTAGCCACACAGTTGCCTAGCTAGGCACACAGCAGGCTAGCTAGCTAGCTAGCTAGCTAGCTAGCTGCTCCTTGATTGCGGCTTTGGCTTGCTGCTGCTGCTGCTGCTGCTGCTGCTGCTGCTGCTGCTCAGGCTTGAGGACTCTGCGTCTGAATTCGCAGCTGGAGGCTCGGGGGGCCTTCGAGCAGCAACTTGATGCTGCTTTCAAAAGACTTTTTTTAAATCCTTTATTTTCTCTTTCTGCTTCCAACAAAATGCCTTCTGAAGAGCAGCTCCAGGTCCTCAGGTTCCACATCAGATACCACGTCAGGTCTGCTGCTGCTGCTGCTGCTGCTCATGCTGCTGCTGCTGCTGCTCATGCTGCTGCTACTGCTCATGCTGCTGCTGGTGGTGCTCTTTAGAGTGCTACAGCTGCTGATGCTGCTGCGGGGGGTGGCAGTGCTGCTGCTGCTGCTTGCACTGCTGTCGAAGTGTCCTTGCTGCTGCTGCTGCTGCTGCTGCTGCTGCTGCTGCTGCAGGTTCACTTCAGATTTGCTGCTGCGCTCTGGGCTTCTGGCTCGCTTTGTGCACACTGAGGAAGATTGTGGTTTAAACATTTTTGGATTTATTGCGGAGCTGCTTTACGAGAACGGCAGCGGCGCGGTGCTGCTGCTCTTCTTGCTGCTAGCAGGCAAGCAGCAGCAGCAGCAGCAGCAGCAGCAGCAGCAGCAGCAGCTTTGCTTCCTCCTTGTTGGCCATAATGCCCTTTATCTGCTTTTTGTTGCTCTTTATTTATTTTTATTTTTATTATTTTTATTTATTTTTTTTTTTATTTTATTTTGTTTAACTTTCTTTGTTTGCCGCTGCTGGGCATCAGCTGCAAATTTGTGCGTTGCAGCTATTTGCATTTGTACATATTCTTATATTTATATTTATATTCTAATTTATATTTATATTTAATATTTATATTTATATTATATTTATATTTATATTTATATTTATATTTTATATTTATATTATATTTATATTTATATTTGTGTATGCACAAAGATACAATATATATATAATGTATACGTTAGCTGCGGAGAAACAGCAACAGAAGCAAAATTCGCATTGCTGCTGCTGCTGCTGCTGCTGCTGCTGCTGCTGCTGCTGCTGCTGCTGCTGCAGGTTGTTTGGAGGACATAGCAGCAGACCCGCAGCGGAGCAGCGGGGAGAAGGAACGTTTGCTGCTGCAGCTGCTGTGCATTTGCTGCGACCCGAGCAGCAGCAGCAAAGTGCAGTCGAATTTCGTGCTGCAGCAGCTGCTGCTGCAGCGGCGCGCAGCAGCGCGGCATCGCGCGCGAGCTGCTGCTGCTGCTGCAGGCCGGGAAGCAGCAGCAGCAGAACTTGCTGCAGCAAACCTGCAGCAGCAAGCAGCAGAATCTATCAGACCCTTCAGCCCGAAGCTGCCAAGAGATGCTCAAATAGCTGTTGAGGCTTTTTATCAAATGGTAAAATAATTTTAAATTAAATTCATTTATTTTCACAAATTGGATCTTTAAATGCAGCATTTTAAGTCCTAAATTAATTCAAAATAAACAACTAATTCCTCTTTTTACTTCTCTCATTTAATCCTTCAAATTTAATTCATTTTTCCCTTTTTACTTTTTGCAAATTGGACACGCAGACCGCGACCTGCTGCTGCTGCTGCTGCTGCTGCTGCTGTGCTGCTGCCTCCCCTTATTTGCACTTGTTTGTAATTTTGTTTATTTGCTATTTATTCCATTATTATTTATTTTTATTTATTGTTTATCATTTATTATATATATTGTTTGTCTAAAAGATAAATCTCAAGAACTAAATATTTGGAATTAACTCTCTGCTGCTGCTGCTGCTGCTGCTGCTGCTGCTGCCAGGCGCTGCGGAGTACATACAGCTGTTTGGCTGCAGCAGCAAATGCACTTCGGGGGCAAAAGGGCTGGACAGCAAAAGATGTTTCTTTGCCATTTACGGGTTTGTACTTCGGAGCTAATCCTGAAGACCAGCAGCAGCAGCAGCAGCAGCAGCAGCAGCAGCAGCAGCAGGGAGGGAGCAAGACGCTGCTGGAGGAGTACAAAGAGACGGTAGGGGAGAAGTTGCTGCAAATAAAAAGATATAATTCAAATAGTTTTATTTTCTTAATTTATTAAAACTAATTAAATATAATTTCCAGGTTTTTGTCGCTGCATATGATGCACACAATCGTGAAGAGCAGCAGCAACAACAGCAGCAACACAGCAACAGCAACAGCAGCAGTAGCAGCAGCAACAACAGCAACAGGAGCAAAACAAGAGCAGCAGCAGCAGTAGCAAAACAAGAGCAGCAGCAGCAACAACACAAAAGCAGCAGCAGCAGCAGCAACACAAGAGCACAGCATTAGCACGTACGCAAAAGGGTCAACAGCAGCAGCAGCAGCAGCAGCAGCAACACAAGAGCAGCAGCATTGGCAGCAACGCAAAAGGGCCAGCAGCAGCAGCAGCAGCAGCAGCAGCAGCAGCAGCAGCAGCAGCAGCAGCAGCTTTGCGAGGGTGTCTTGCTGCAGGTGCACGGGTTCAGCCTGCAGTCGCCGTTTGGGGCTTTGGGTTGCATGCGGGATGAAGAAGTTGGAGTGTCTTTGGAGGTTTTGGAAGACAACATTGAAGTGTCTTTGCCATTTCCAAAAGAAACCTTAGCAGCAGCAAGAGCTGCTGCTGCGCTGCTGCGGCTGCCGCGCTTCACGCCGCCCGCAAGCAGCAGCAGCAGCAGCAGCAGCAGCAGCAGCAGCAGCAGCAGCAGCAGCAGCAGCAGGCGCACCACGGAGCTGCTTGCTGCCAACAGCTACCTCAGCGATCTTTATGTTCATGGAAAACTCGCCAGAGTTGTCAACGAAAATGGAGTTCCTCCGGAGCAGCTGTGGCTGCTGCTGCAGCACTTCGTGTTGTCTTTGAGCCGGCTGAGCAAGGGGCTGCTGCTGCTGCAGCAGCAGCAGCAGCAGCAGCAGGGCGGCTGCAGCACCAAAGTCGAGCTGCTGCTGCCCTTCGTCGAGCAAATCTGCGCCCGAATGAAATCTGTCCTCAAGGAAGAGTCTGCTTAGCAGCAGCAGCAGCTGCTGCTGCTGCTGCTGCTGCTGCTGCTTGTTATTTATCATTTCTTGTTATTTATTGTTTATTTTTTACCCAATTATCTCGCCATTTGTTATTATTTTTACTTGCTGCTGCTCTCCAGCAGCAGCAGCAACTACTCAGCTCCCTCATGGCCCAACAAAGACTGAAGAAACGCCAGCAACAGCGGCCTAAGCAGCAGCAACAGCAGCAGCAGCAGCAGCAGCTGCTGCTGCTGCTGCAGCACAACAGCAGCACGCATGCACCCTTTCTACTTAACAATGTGGGGCCCCCTCTAATGGACCCCAGGGGCCCTCGGGGGGCCCCCAGGGGCTTCTCGGGGGCCCCCCAGGGGGCCCTCCTAGAGCTTTCCAGGGGCCCCCTGGGGGCCCCCCATTTAGGGGGCCCCAAATGTCGCTATTTCAGGGGGGCCCCCAAGGGGGGGCCCCCCAGTGGGGAAAAGGCATTTGTGGGTTTTCTTGATCTTGTGTATGAAAGTGTAGAAGTATAAAAGTGAATATATTTATTCATTTATATAAATGAAAGTACTTATTCATTTATATAAATAAATATATTTATTCATTTGTACAAAAACAAAACAAATGTGTTTGTTTGTAATTACATCTCAAGTCTATTTATAAAGCTTTGAAGACTTTCTCGGCGTTGCCCTTTTCACGCCCCTCGTACATATAACTAGCTAGCTAGATAGCTAGCTGGCTAGCTAGCTAGCCATCTAGCTAGCTAGCCAGCTAGCCGTTGGCTGTGAGCAGTCTCAAAGCCAGGCGACTAGCTGTAGCAGTTTTAGTTCAAGGGTCTCTAGCTAACAGCTGGCCAGATGGCTAGCTGAAGGCTGCCCAACTAGCTAGCTAGCTAGCTAGCTTAATAGCTGGCTAGCTGGCTAGCTAGCTAGCGGTCATGGGCCTAGCGGCGGCAGCTAGCCCGTGAGGCTAGCTGCCTTAGCTGCTTCGGCTTGGGCAGTCAGCTGCTGGTAACCAGAAGGTCTAGCTAGCTAGCTAGTTGGCTAGCTAGCTAGCTGG